CAAAAGAAATTATGAACATATTCTTAGCGAGATAAATATTATCAAGATTGCCAGTAATGGTTCTTCTACTGAAATGACCTGCTCTGTTGTTAAATTCTTTACGAAACTGGCGTTAAAACTACAGTGAAGAAGGAATTAATAAAAATGTAACAACACATGATGAGCGTCGTCTATTCACTCTGATTGCAGTGTAGTATGGATGGTCTCTGAGAGAAAAAGCTAAGTCGTCTCTAGAAAAGACGTTATCCGTACTTTCCTGTACAGTCCTTGTACCTTGAGAAAGCCTCACAAAACCCTGTTTTCTACAAGTATTATGTAACTCCTCTGGTTTACAAAAAGCACGTGTTCTACAAGAGTTTCCTTGGAATTGAAGTTCGACTTTTTGCAGGCATGAGGTAGACGTTGTTTCGTATAGCAGCTTTTAAGGCAAGAAAACTGTGCCTTTCTGGAGAGTTTACACTCTTCTTTCGTGCCAAGGAACGAGACAAAGCTGAAACTTTAAAATTTTGAACATCTACGATAAAAGTACAACCCAACTTAACGCGACATGACAAATGTTTCTTCACAATGTAAATTTGCAATTTAAATTTTCAAATGCACGCACCAAGTTGCGTATATTTGATTGGTTTGTCTTCTGTTTAGATAACTCTTATAAAGCGCGGAATTTTCAAAATGTATTTTTCAGATAACTGGGGCGCTTTCCACGGGCGCTCTGCATTCAACGAAAAATTGCGCAAATTTCGCAATGAGTTGACAAAAATCGTGAAGTTAGCAAAAAAAGGCAAATTTTGTAAATTTTGTAAAATCCCCATCCGGTGCTTGCTGATGGATTAGCATAAAATTGTAAATTTCGCAACAATGTCCGGAAAAATGGTTGAGGCAGCAAATTTTTGTAAATCTTGTAGAGTTTAACGAAAAATCGCAAATTTTGTTAAATTTGAAACTCAAACAAATAATCGTAAAATTTGTAAAATTTTTAACTGCGTCCAATCCTGGACATAAGTGGATATTGCCTTTGCTCCTTACAGGGGAGGGGTTGTTAAGTAAAATAGAGACGGAGAGAATTAACGGGGCGTTCGTGGATCTGAGGGCTCTAATGGATGTGAATTTTTTAGGTCACTTAATTTTGATGCGAGTTTCTGGAAAGGGCTTCTTTTGGCGTTGAAAAGAGCATAGCCCATGGTTGTCAGTTGTCACTTATGCGGGAAAAAAAAAAAACATTTTAAAGGGTACGTTCTGGTCTGTAACGATCTTTTTTCTGCTCTGGTCTTAGCCTGAGGCGACTTTTGTGGGGTCTAACAATTTTTACCTTTTTCGTATTTTCATATTTCAGTACACCTTGATCTCGAGATTTTCTGCATTTGAAGATAGTCGTCTTGGTCGCAGACAAAGACTCATGACATCGCAACTTGGTTCCCACAATGCTAGCTTACTTACTACCTTTATGTTCTAAGGGATGGACCATGGCTTTCTTTTTGGCCAGGGTTACGCAACTACCAAAAACAATTCCAGCATAAGAAAAAGCGACTCAAATTCGCGAAAGGGCGAGCCATCAAAAGAAACTTAACGACTTGAGATTGAAAAAATTCGTGGTCATGAAAAATTGGCACCTCCCTCAATCCCTATGCCACTTGCACGAAGAAACAACTCAGCCAAGAAAACGCGGTTATTAACAGTTTAATCTCATCCTGTCTGAGACAGGACATTATTTCCTTAGAAAAACTTTCACTGCAAAGTCTGTTGTGAAAATTGTTACAACTAGAAGATTCATATGGTCGCTGAAAAGGGTCATATGCACAAGTAACCATGGAAACCATTGGCGTAGTTTAAATATAATCTTAATATTAAATAACTGTCGGTTTATAAATAAATTTTGAATTAGTTTGTAGTTGTTAATCTTTCAAGCTCCACTATCAACATGCTATTTTACTGTTTTGCATTTCTTATTAGATTTCGTTTAAATGTTAATGTCAGAGAAATGTTATGATCCTTCGTTTTGTTCAATTCTCCCTACTTGCCTGTTTAATCTCGTTTTGATATTATTGGGAGAACCGACTGGTTGATCACATTTGGAGCTTGAAAGTTCAACAAGAAATTTTCGCTATTTCATTTCCAGAAGATCCTATTCACTTAAATACATCTCAATTCAACCCTAAACATTTTGATGTTTTCTCCGGGCTAGAAAATAACCGTGTTTTCGACTGCAAACTGCGTTGGTTTCACTCCTTAATATTCACTCGTATTTTCTTTCTGTCATTAAATGCTGTATAAAAATATTTAAAAACAATTCATGAAATATATTAAAACACCTCTCAAGGAATTAGTAAAATAAATAACCAAAACACTCATATATTAAAATTAAATTCACAATTTTTTTTCACTCTTAAATTCAAAGTCAGTTTCGTAAAAAATAACGCACTCTTCGCCAAACGTCAAACAATATGCTCGTGTCGGCGTGCTACCGACCATAAAATTTATCCGAATGTTTTATCCTCTTCTCTGGTTACGAAAACTGCAAATTATTTTTTTGCCTACTTTGACACAATTTTCAAAAACCCTTGACTGTAAGAATCTGCTAGGAATTTGAGCCGTAAAAATAGAATACCAATACCGCTTATTTCATTGTAAAACTTTTCTGTACATGAACTTAGATTCTGTTAGATTTCTAACCTGCTGGCGAGTTGCCAACGATTTAATTTTTATGTCGAAGGCGAGAAAATGTTTCATGCGGAATATTTTATCACAACGAGGATTAATTTACAAATGTCGATTTTTCTTTTTACAATCTGAACATATCATGTTCGAATAGAAATACATGTAAAATTAAATACTTCTATGAAATAAAAACCATCAGTGTCGACAGCACATTCAAAATATCAAAATCGTATATCGATTCTGAGAACATCACCTGTAAATCTGATATTGCATAGACTCTAGATTTAAACTGTTAAGGGTGCATAGCTCAGTATGCTATGAACAGTAAAAAGGTCACAGATTTTTACACAGAAAAATTATAGTATGTAAAAAAATTGAATCACACATTGGAAATTGTCTTCACCTTGTGTATGAAAAAGCTTATAGCATGACTTATGAAGTAAGAGCTATCATTGTTTGAACGCCGGCAATGGAGATTTGTGACTTGTGAACCAATATTGAATTCTGATAGATCGAATGTGGCGCGTTTACATCATAATTTTAAACTGAATTTCAGCTTCATACCCCATAAAAACGCTTTAAATCCATTGAATCATTTGATCGGAGGCAAGAACTGTCCTCCCTCCGTGACAGTCACTTCCTCCGTAGTTCTCTCTTCTGCAATATCCTTCTCTTTCACTACCCCGGACGAAATCGTCTTGGCAGTCGGTGCCACTGTCCCCTTGGGCTCAGTCCCAGTCTCCGGCTGTTGTTTGGTAACATTGTTGTTGTTGTCGTGTGGCGCAGTGTGCGTGGCGTCAGCTCCTATTGGCTGCAATCTTTCCCGCGTTCGCGCGCTTCGTTTGGTCCAGCCGCCCTCAACATGCGCTTTGCTGGGTTCCGCTATAATTGTGGTACTTCCTTTGGATATCGTCTCCGAAGAGTTGTGCGCATCCGCAGAAGCCTGGTGTCGGGACGTTAAGCGGGATGTCCCGCGATGTCTTTGGCGTCCCTAGAAAAACGAAAAAGAAACATGTAGCATAACAGACAAAAGGTAAATAAAGCCGCGGGAAGTGAAAATGTTCGTTAACGAAGTTGTGGTCTTGGATGGAACGTTAAGTTTCCAGAAAAGGCGTTCTTGCCTATTGTTCACGTGTCTTTGTAGAATATCAACGTAGTCTGGACGAATCCGTGGTCCGTTGTTTCGGCGTGCTGCTAATTTCGCCCACATTGTTGGACTTTACACCCGTTTTTTGTGACAAACTCAAAGACTGAAAGAATTGAACATGCTAAATCTGAATATAAAAAATCCAATTAATACAACAGAAATCCGCTGTTATCGCCAAATGGAAATAAAATGGTGGCCATTGAGGTTTTGCTTATGTCGGAGAACCCACAAACCAGGCTAGAACCCGGACAATCTCTCAAGTGATTTCTGGTACGGACTTATTCTTCTGCATCACACTAACGCTGTGTTCTTACCTCCTGTATCCACTCGTGGTGGAAGGCTTCATCAGGAGTCAGACGAGTTGCTGGATCCCAACTGAAAAAATAACGCGGAATACACTGCTCAGTGGAATTACTACAAAATTATTACAACCAATCGACTGACTGACCGAGTGAGCTTTTCTCCAACGAACTGCTAAATTCGCTCATAGCTCCGCATTCACGAGTTAAAAAGAAGAATTTAAAACTGCACTTGTGTAAGTTCCTCAATTTAGTCTTGGAGACAAAAGGTTTTTCAAGGGAATACACATGAGACTCACTCGAGGCAGCGATTGATAAAATCCACAAATAACGCGTCGTTTGTTTTCAGAGCTGCGCTGAGTTCTTTGCCGTTCACTTGACGCTTTCTTCCTTTTGAGTTTGTCATGCTGCGCGGGTTTCCTTTGGAATCTGTTTTAAAACATGAATTAATATACATCAATGAAAAATGAATAAATTCTCCAGGGGGAGAGATATAAATCTACAATGTTCTAACATCCCAAACAGAAAGTTTGGAGTACCAATGCTTTTACAAAAGAAAACAGTGGTTGGAACGCTCACCAACGAATGAATCATTACGCGAGCTTCACAATCTAACTCTGAAAATGTCATATACCAAAGATTGTCACTTTGGTTTAAGACGTCTACTTCTCCAAGGTTCAGAATGTTGTTCTTCGCATGAACATTCTTTCAGGAACAAATTTGCTGGCAAGACATTCAGCGGGAGAAAAGGACAAGCCATCTAGTAGTGTTACCTTACAGATCTAACACTTCTATTTACGACTGCAGTCACTTCGCGCTACAGAAACCCGAAATATTCAGTGACAACGAAAACTTTCTACCAGGAACAAACTTTAAATCACATCTTCCACCCTGAAGAATCGAACAACGCTGACTTCAACGACAAATGCAACTTTTACCAGGCAAGATGGAATGGTACACCAATAGAAACAAAAAGACAAATGAACTTACCGAAAAAGAGCCTTTTTCTTCCAGCTGGTTCAAGTACATTTGAAGGTGGCTTACCTAAAATCTGTTTAATTAAGGAGAAAACAAAAATAAAATTATAGTTCTCGAGGAAACTGTTGGGCTGAGAAGGCGGTCAAATTGATTAACAGTTGGCTATTTATAGACCTGAAGCAGATAAAGGTAAATTAATCGCAATAGCGATTTTGTGAAGGTGATGTTCCGAGCGTCAGCAATTCGTCAGAGTAAAAAGAATATACAATAAAGTACACAAAACAACTACACGAAATGAAAAGGGGAAAGTGTAAAAGGAAGAGAGAGAAAAAAAAACAAAAACAAAAACAAAAACACGAAAAACAAATCTGTTGCCTCAGGTCTCTGTACGAAAGCATAGAATAGACGATTAAGTACACAAAACTACACGAATGAAAAGGAGAAAAGAAAACCAAACAACAAAACACACAAAACACGAGAATCAAATCTGTTGCCTGTAGTCCCTGTACACACCTCCATAATACACGCTAGCTGTTCCACTTCATTCTCACCAGGAAACAAAGGGTATCCCGTGTACAGCTCGGCAAGAATACACCCTAAACTCCACATGTCAATGGCCATGTTGTACGGAATACCTGAAGCAAGAAACTCAAACTTAACATGCACTCGGATTTTTTACTACAAAATACAAACACCATACAAGCTTACACTTGCACCAGTGGATAATCTTCTCCTTTTTACAAAACCATACAAGCTTACAGTTACAACCACAAGCTTAAACCACCCAACACTTCTTAAATATAAACAGGTCATTTGGTNGCGTTATTGCGTTGACCAGACAAACGGAAATCGCTGTAACAAGAAATAACCAAAGTCACTTACCGGTTTTAAATCGCAGTGGATAATTTTCTCCTTGTACAACACTCTAAGACACTGGAGTAACGAATAAGCAAACCTGAAAAACAACGAATAAGCTTGATAAAAAATTAATTCAGTACGTTGAATTGCAAATGTAAAATTTACCACTAAAATTTGAAAAAAAGCTTGATAAACATCAAAATTAAGCAATTATACTAAAATTTCTTGAAGGTCCTTTATTATCCAACTGCAGCGATTACTGTCCAAACAACGCGGGAAACGAGTAATAAATTCAAAATACAGCGATGTTGTATAGTTAGTTATTTGAATAGTAGATAACCTGCGTGACAGGACAGCACGCGTCACGCTAATCTGTCACGCTCTTAGCTCTTGTCACCTGTAAGTACTAACTGTTGTTGACTTACCTTCTTATAAGCGCGAGACTAAATCCTTGGAAATTGTTCTTTTTTATTAATTCGTACAAATTCATCCTGCAACGAATAGTAACCACAAAATGTTGGTTAAACGGTGAAGTGAAATCACGATGCTATGTACGCGGCGCTGAAATACATTACTTGCACCAAAATTTTGACGTTCAAATTTCGGACGCTTAATTTTCGGATACTTTTATCTCATTTCGGACAAATTTACGTCAAAAATTTCGGACACTTTGCTGAACATAGCTAAAGTAAATTTACGCATGGAAAAAAAAAAAAAAAAACAGATGTGAATATGATAGTTTACGTTTTACAGATACATCGACGAGAAAATGGCACAAATTTTATCAAGCAGTTATGTGTCTCAACTAGAGTTCATTCCTAAAAGGATACCAGGGGCCTTGGAGCTACTTAAAAGTGGTAGTGTCAATACTTCGGACGTTTAAAATTTCGGAACCTTTTACAAGTAATGTGTAAATAAAACTTGTTACTTACCCCATGAGTTCGAAGCTAATGCACAAATGATTCCTGAAAAGAGGCACAAGAAACTTTATTTAAGAATAAAGTTCTTTCAACAAAGCTAAACCTAATGACGCCGTAGATCGGCGAAAGATTGGATATTAAACATCATTTTACACAGTCGTTTCAGGCCCTATTTGAACTTTAGTATTATTAAAGCAAACACGTGTAAAACATGCTTGCCTATGATATATAAAACAAAATTCCCTAAATTTTAAACCAGGAACACTTTTCACCAAATGAAAACAGGTTTTAAGGAAAATAAGACAGTCACTGTCAACAACGCACATCAATGGAATCCTTTTCAACATCAGAATTCTCTTAACCTTTTTCCATACATTCCCTTCAATTCTCGTTGGGAAAATTTGGCTCTAGTCAATACGGTTTTTCTGAGATGACAAATTCCTTTATTCTCATTACCTTCCTGTTGCAATTAATAGTCATAAGGTAGAAAGAAGACACGATTTGATCAGAAGAGTTCAACTCACCTGAAGTAGAAATAGTCTATCATGTGTATGAGATTGTAACTGTTTTCCTTATCCTGAGAAATTCAAAGAGGAACAAATTATCTACCGCTTTGAGCTTAACGTAATTTTTTTATGCCAGAATAAGGTTATTTCAAGATCTTACTAACCTTTTTACGTAAGTGTTCTAGAATTTTAACCTCCACTAGAGCTTGCTGATGAAATCTGGAAAACAAAGAAACACCAAATGTGAACTGTTGCATAAAGGTAAACTGCACAGTCGGAGAAGAAAGAGAGCGCAAAGCACTATTCACTATTGTGTATATGCGCACATGTACTTGTCTCGTACCTCTTTTTGTTACGAATAATTTTAATGGCGACATGTTGTCCAGTCTTGTGATCCAGCGCTTTGACCACTTGGCCAAACGAACCCTTGCCAAGCACCTCCAATACTTCATATCTGTACACTAGGTGGTCGTGTAACGCCTTCAGATAGCTGCCATTCTCGTCATCATAACCTGGGAAAATTATCACAAAATAATCAGACCCAATCTTCCACGAGAATGATAAATAATTAAATAAGAAACTTTTCATTCAAGTCAAAGAGCAACGTAAGTTAAACAAGACTCACAATAATCATCCTCTCTACAGATTGATATTCAGAGGTAAACAGTGAAGCTGGAACCAGTTGAGATCGCTTTAAGACGGCCTAAACCTCCACAGTGATACAAGAAATACACAATGGAAGCGGCAAAAGAAATTTTGCTGTATTTTGTTTTCCGTATTTCTAGCCGCTGAATACGTTCGTTACATTTTCAGTCATACAAACTCTTCTATGTACGGTGTTTCGCAATATCACACAGTGTGCTTGGGATACCTGTGGGCTGAATTTCTACAAGTGCCAATCCGCCTCCCTACCATCCCCACCCCAAAGTTCTGGACAGGTTTATTGGCTTCTCAAAATTTATTGACAATGCATTTTGCTACAAGGTCCTGTCCACACTACGCAGGAGAAATTTGAAAACAGCGTTTTCACTCTGAAAACGCATTAAATGTTTTCCGTTCACATTACGCCGGAGAAATTTGAAAGCGCAACAATCACCGGTTATTTTAGAGTTGTGTTTGGGGATATCTCGGGCAGGGAAATCACAGGATTGTCGCAACTTCATCATTTACGAAAAGCTTCGTTATCAAAATGTTGTCCGTCCAAACTACAACGCAAAGCCGGCGTTTTCAAATTCCTCCAGAAGATCGTTTTGGAAAAGCACCGTTTTTGTGACGGATTAGTGCGGACGGTAGGCCAAACGCTAGAAATAAAGCTGCGTTTTCAAGTTTCTCCGGCGTAGTGGATGGGGCCTAAACGAAACTGTTGAAACCTGGGAGCCTCTGCCCAAAAAGTTCATAGATTTTTCAATGGCTCTTGCAGCAGCGGACAGTTTATTCCAACCAATTTGGTGTCAACTCATCAAAAATTCTGGAATTTTCCTGGAGTTCACTCTTCACGGACTTTCACTGTAAGCTTAAGCTCAAACTTGATGATGACAAATGAAGTACCGTTATTCTGAGGCGCGCCAGGGACACCTTCAATCTTCTTCGCCTCCAAACCAAGAAACCATACGTCCGGGAAATCACGAATCTCTTGCGACTGCTCGAACGAGGTCATCTTGTCTCCGTAGTGATTGATTGCCACTAACAAAACAATTTTAAAAATGAAAATTAATAGCTGTTAGCTTTTTTAATACTGTTAGAATATTTTATAGTGTACTGTGAACTTTTATCTAATATCGTGTGTTGAACACAACGACGCTGAACTGAGTTCAAAATTCGGAAATCAGGTCATGTTCGGAAACCTTCGGGACAACTTCCGAAGGCCCAGACGATCTTCGGGAATCTTCGGAAATCTTCGGAAATCTTCGAAACAATTTTCCTTTCACGGAGAAAAAAACTTACGAAAAATACTCTCTGCATAAACACATCGCAATTTGCAACAATTTTACACTGTTAAAAGCATTGAAAAATATGTACTGCCTTTTAGAACAAAATCGCCAATGGCGCAGCTAATGCGGATCTTTCCTTGTACGAGAAAATAATTTCTTTTTTGCCAAAACGTAACTAATCCACTACTTGAATTGTTCCACAAGCGACATACCAGTTTTATTGACGAACGGGCGGAAAAGCTTTTGGAAAATATGCAAACAATAGCCTCCATTTGGCGTGAAAATATGCTCGGATATTTGTCCGCAGACATTATCTGTTCCGTGAGCCGAACAGTTTTCCGAGAGCGTAGCTCGAGGAAAACTGTGAGCTTCAAGGAACAGATAATGCCCAAGGGCAAATATTCGAGCATATTTCCGTGTCAAATAGGGGCTAGTGTGTTTATTATCCTTCAAATAAAAGAAGGAAAAAAGGAAAGAAGCGGAAATCAAACCTATCTTAGTCATCGATTTATATCAATGAATAACAGAATCTTACCGCTTGGTGACATGGGCAGTTTGACCCCGTTAGGGTCTCGGCGTACGCGAGTAAACGTCTCATTCTCACTGTTTGTTCTGAAAGAAAAGGAAAAAAAAATGCAAACATATCGACAAGTTAACACTAACGGTGAGAAATTTATAACTTCCGCACACAATTTAAAACACCATGTAAATTTGAAAAACATGCCCTCCAGATAAGGCTGGTTACCCCGCAGGCAACTTGGAACCATTGAGTTTTAGCCATCCAGTAATTTTTTAGCAGCAGAATTAAACTCCCAAAACAGGAAAAATTCCGGACGTTTTTTTTTTTTTTACTACTTTCCTTCTTTTAATAGGTTTGGAAAACTACTTGTCTGTGTTACACTGGATGAACATGTAGGAGTTTCCATTATTGCTACATAAATTAAAGCATTCAACAGAGATTAATGTCATTTGCATTTGAAAGACTCCTCGCTTTAGCCTCAGTTGCAAGCTAGTTCCAGTGCAATACCGAGAATACGTACATGGCCTGTTGTTTCACTTACATTAGAGTGGAATGCCGTTTGGATCCTGGTTTGCTGTAATCGCTCAAGTTCAGATTTTGCGCCTGTAATAATAAGAACAAACAGAAACTAACAATGTTAGCTTTCTATAGTTACAATGAAGGTCTTTCGATACCCCTTATACTTGAAGGAGAGTAGGGTAGGGGTGAAATTTTACTACATCACTTGCAAAAAATTTCGGACAATGTTAAGCTCGGACAAAAAAACTGTCCGAAAACAAAACGGCTCTAAATTTTTAAACGTCCGAAATATTTAAAGCTCTGTCTGAACCTTTTAAGTAGCTCCCAAGCCCTTAGTTTCCTTTATGGAGCGAACTCTGTCGAAACACTTCTTGAGATGCGTTACGGCTTGATAGAATTTGGGATATTTTCTCGTCGGTGAATCTGTAAAACCTTGAGGCTGCAGTAAAACTATCATTTTCACAGATGTTGTTTCAGTCTAACTCGTGTTTTATGGTCGTAAATTTACTTTAGCTATGTTTCCGCAGTGTCCGAAATTTTTGTCAGAACTTTGTCCGAAATGAGATAAAAAGTATCCAAAATTTTTTCGTTCAAAATAAAATGTCCGAAACTTTAACGTCCGAAATTTTTTGGCCAGTAATGTATCTGTTTCACACTTTGTGGAGCGCTTATGAAACAATGGCCAAAAGGAAAATAAATTAGAATATGGAAAAAGTTAGAATCGTGAAAAGATCTTGTTTTCTACGCTGGTTTAAGTTCCTTAATTAAAAAAGATTTTGGAATCACAGGGCCGTTGCTACTAATAACAAATGAACAGAAGCCCTTGCCTTGCCTCGCCGAATGAAATTTATAAATGAAAAAGAAGTGGTTTTTTTTTTACATTGCCTCTATAACTATTTTCGTTTGGTTAGGACCTTGCAAACATTTGTAACAACATTCCCAACATCTAATTTCTCGCACAAATTCTTAAGATGTTTGTCAATTTTTTGAAAAAGAGAAACTTGTTTTGAATACCCATTTAATGTTAACACTCAAAAAATACCAGTAGTTTATCGTAACAACTTCAAATTTTCCTTCTTATTTCTAGCGTATTATCACAAGCGTTTACCTAATGATATTTCTCGCTTTATTTTCCTGCAAATTAATTAATATTTGCTTTGCGTATCTTTGTTTTTTCAGTTTGACTCCAAATAGTTTTCAGCTATCCCTAAAGCCCTGGATTTCTCTGGGAAAATAATTATTGCTGAAGCTTACTGATTCAATGGAATGCCGGAAAGATCACGATTGCGACGACTGAATTATCAGAGAGTACCTTGAAAAGTCGAAAAATTATTTCGGACGAGCGCCAGTAAAATGGTAAATAATCTGAAATAAAGTGCACTTAACAGGTGCCAAAAAAAAGAAAAAAAAAAGTTAGAAAATAAACTCTGGTTTAGTTAGGTATTCACTTTTCTTTTAACCTCTAAATCGCTCGCGGATTTATAGTTATCCATGGTCGAATAAGCTTTCAAACATGTTAAGAAATACCAATGTGAGAATTCTTGCCTGTAGCAAACACCACAAGTAATTCCGATGGCAGCTGTGTTTGTGAAATACAAGCCGAGCGAAAGTGGTATCTTGGCAATCTAAAAAGCCGTTTTCATCTACCGCGACCTTCGTACGAACTCTCATTAACGAGGAAGGATTCAAAACCAAACTCGAAACAATAACTGGAAATTCGTGTGAGATATTAGTCGACGCAAAAGCAAATCCGAAAACAAAGTCTACTGCACGAAAAAAAAAACAAAAGAGAAAAAACTGTTGATATTGGTCCAAAAATAATCAAACACCGTCTGGTTTAGTTTAAACTCTCAGATTACAGAACGACAAGATTTATTCGACAGAGATTACGAACAAATTTTCAGCCGATGTTTTCGCCGAGAAAATCAATTACAGGCGCTTGGCAGATCGACATAAGTAAACCAATTTCCTGCAACGTTTAACAATAAATTATTTTCTCGACAAATTACTTGTAACCAAAAAACCCTTAAAACATGAAGTTTTTCAGAAAAATCAATGTTTTGACGCAAAATTAAGCACCCATATGACGGCAGGAAAAAAATAATTACACTTATAGCTATCAGTAGAGTAGATCAACCCGAGTGCTCATACATTCTGCCGAAAAAAAAAAATAAACGTCGACGCCTAACGGAAACACATTTCACCCGCTCTTGCAAATACCGATTATAAGAACGTTTTTCGTTCAAGTTACTAAACGAAAATCAAGACGAGAAACGCGGCACGCTTGAATTAAGCCCACGATCATTTTTTTCATGGTAAATATTTGCTGAATTATTTACTTCATCAAACACTTTTCATATGCTGGGAAAACAAATTCAGGGTTTTATTGCGCCCTCTACAAAAAAGACAAAATAAACGTAAAAAGAGTAACTATGAAATTGCCCTTCAAAAATGGAGCAACGAAGAAAAAAATCGCGCTGCAATTATTGCTTTATCGGAAAAATCTTAAATGCAACGTGAACAAACCTTCTTTCTATGCACAGACTGGAGAGATCCCGCCAGGCCAGTGAAAACTCTTATTTTCATATGTCCTCGAGTCAAAGTACTCGTGTTCTGGATCGAAATGCCTGTCTTTTGGCCTGGTTTCTGTCCTTGTTTCACCATCATGAAACGTTGGTTTTCGGTTCTTCAACACTTAAGGCTTCAAGCTACCCGCTCGCCGATCGCCATACTGGAATGACCTGTCGCCTTGTGGTCGGCAAGCTGCTTAATACAACAACGTTGATTCTCGACGCAAGATTGAATGGAAATCAGTGCTGGCGACGAGTCGTCTTTAAGCAAAAATAAATGAATAATTTTGTTGTTGCACACAATCAGGTCCCAGCTTGACTCGCGACGATCGACCCAGTGGAAAATAAAAGCTTGTGTGAAAACAACTCGTTGTACATCTGTTCTTCAATTGCGAAAAAAAAAAANTAAATTTGTAAGTGATGAAGCGAAGTTTCTGTCAATTACATCTACTAAGTCTTAAGAAAACCTGGAAGGAGCTTCTGAAATTTACACTGATGTCTGTGTTCCACCGAAAAGTAAACACAAGAAAACGACACTATGAATTTATATTTTCCTCATTCTTGCATATTCCTGTGGTTTGATTTGTTCGCTAAGCTTAATATCGACAACAGAGTTCAGTTGTCGAGAACAGCTTTAACCATCAACAGAAAGACCTGTCAAATTTCTGTTTTCAATTAATAAAACGGGAAAAAGTTGCAATCTTCATTGGCAGCTGTTGGTAGTCTTAGTACATTCACATTAACACCCAGCATGCCGCTAAACACGCATTCTGAAAACCAAATAAGCTTCTAGGTCGATTTATTACTTCGTTGAAAGTATTATAAATTTATTATTATAGCAAATTATTTGAGCAGTATGATCGCATTAGAATCTCTTTTGAAAATTGAAATATCTGGCTAAAGTAGCCTTTAAAACTAGCTCCTACAATGGGTAAATTTCACATTGAAATTAGTCACCCGTCTCGACCGGACACGATGCATTTAAGCTTATGTGTGGGTGCAAGCAGACTAAGACTTGCACAATATTTGCCTACCTGCGCAAGGTTTGAGGATTTCTTCGACCTTGTTTGCTTCAAAAATGGAAGCAGATGTTGTTTTCTGTCTTTTGAGCGATCGTCTTTCCCCATTAGCAGTCTGCGTGAAGAGAAAGAATATTTGAACACTGCTTCGACATTTCAATGACCGCAAACACCGACTGTGCGTGTATGTAAACAACGACACAAAACTAAAATATTTACTCAATAAAGAGTTGGATATAGAACTTATCTTCAGCCAAACAAAGCAATCGTTTAATTTTGCATGCGGCTTACCTTCTCTCGGGAGGAAAATAAGATCACTGTTTTGTCTTCCTATTGCAGCATGTTCGGTTCCGAACGCTCCAACACTTTGCAAATCGTACAAAAGCAATAAAAAGTTATCACTTTAAGAACTTGGAAAAGTGATATAAATCATCGCTACAGCTCAGTCCATCTTCCGCAAGTAGATCAATGATCCTAAGGTGGCCAGAATGAGTAATCTCTTGGAGAAGATCTCGTTTATGAAAGCTTTTCGAAGTGACTTGTCGAGCGCGTGTGAAAAACCCGCGCGTGCAAAAGCCTCCGTCGACCTCAGTTGTCAAATATCACCTTGGTAACCAACCAATGAAAAGGCCACGCGCGCCTGGCTATTAAGTCAATCAATACTTCATTTACGCTTCATAACACTTCTGCTAGACACACTAATTCCCCCAAAGTTTACTCAAGTTTGAAAACTGTTTGAACAAACTTTCCTAGCCAAAAAAAGCAAACATATCATAGACAACCATGCCTTTAAAAAGCAATTTGTGATGAATAATAAATGAGACGCAATTAAAGAATAAAGTTTTGCTTTATTGTGGTGAAGTTAATTGACTTGTAAACAATAACGGTATACAAAACAATTGATCTTTCAAACCGCAAGTTACTTGTTTCGCATTTTTGCCACGAATTGCTGTGAAATGAAAGTGAAAAACAAATATTGCCATGAAAGGCAGCGAAACTTAAAAATAAGCAATTCCGATAACATGACGACGAAAACACCAATTTCTTGAAAAATGCAATTCCGTGCAACCACAAATCTATCCCGGAGTTAAGCTACCCGGTGGAATCCGAAAGGGGGCAATTACGCGACAGTTATGAATGCTTTTTCAGTAGTGAGCATTTTTTTCCCCTTCTTGATTCCTAACTCGTCATATCGAAAATTTGTTAATCTCTTTTTAATTTCGACGGGATGGTAATCCTTCGAAAGTCAAGTTTCTCCGACAGCGGATGACAAAAAAAGTTACATCAAACAATTCCGCCATGGTAGCAAAACATTTTGGTCTATTAGACAAGTCTTCTCGATCACTGATCGATTTATCTACAACGAAATGTCCAGTGACAAACACATGAATGCTCTTTAGAAGTGTTCGGAAATGCGTTCAATCCATTGTAATGGTTACAACAAAAAAATTGAGTAACAAACTCCGTTCCCAGCAGGGCTTTAACCTTAATATATTGGGACGGAACGGCCTGGGAACGGGGTTGCTTGAGAATAAATCAGTGTCGTGCGGCTATTTTTTCTAGGGAAATGTAGTTCACAGATTCCTTTCGCTGGGCTCTTTGTAGTCCATGCCGATAATTTCAAATATTTCTCGTTCACTTGAAACAGGTATCAGTTCTCCTGGCACACCTAATCGAGTGAGAAAAAAAAAATGCTTAAATGAAGAGTATCATGGTATATCTGTTTCAAAAAAGTTGTTTCTTTATCAGTATATAGGCGAAGATCACCCTTTGAAAAAGCTACACGGCCTTACCTCAATCGATTGAGTGTTTCCCTAAGGGAATTCTTGTAATGACCAAATGCGAAGGGGTTTTCTCTCATAGGGCAGTACAAATCAACCGGCAGGACACACGAGGGCTGATAAATCTACTTTGATATCAGGTAATGCCGAGGTAAATTGGAATAGACGGCTAACTTGGGAAAAAAATATATAGGAAGGGGTGATTGCTGAAGCAACTGGGTCGAGAATTGGACCATAAGAAAGGAGAGTATGACCTAACACACGTAACAATCATGCTGACCATAACTGTTACGGTGACCGCGATAATGATGATGATGATGAGGGGGAGGAGAGAGAGAAGGAACAAACGGAAGAGTAAAAGAACAAGGAGATGGAGGAAGTGGGGAAGGAGAGGGAGAGGAGAAGGAAGGGAAAAAGGAGAGAAAAAGGAGGAGGATAGTGACGATGACAATGACGATGACGACGTCGGTGATAATGATGATGACGCGTGGTGGGTTTATTTGATTTTGTTCTCTGTTTTTGTTTCCTTTTTTCCCCACAGTCAAACTTACCGGTACTCCCCATGGGCCTGAAAACAACAGAAATATTACCTACATTAGTATGTAACAGCTTACTTAGCTTAAGCGGGACAGCGAAGAACCGTACGCTTGTTATACGTAGAATTATTCTGCAAGATCAAGAAGAACCAACCTGATGGAATACTCATTAATAGTGAAGCCCTTCTCAAGAGCATTTTGTCGCATCCTTCTGTTAAACTCATCACTACCAGTGAAGTATAGAATCCCGCAGAAGAACTGATCGTGGGGAATCAACCTGTGGAAATCAACCAGACGCAGTGGATTTCTCGCGGGTGGAAACGAACGCGCGCAATACGCGTTAGTGTTCGTAGTGGAACACGTCAATATTTTTCGTAACAAATGTTGCCCCTGATTATTTAAGAATTAAAAAATGAGAGAGACCCCGAGTCCGCGTTCTATTGACAACCGTTTCGTTTCGTTTCGTTTCGATTCGTTTCATTTCGTTGCGCTGCGTTGAGTTGAGTTGCGTTGTGTTGTGTTGCATTCCGTCCCGTTCGGTTTTAAGCGCTTGAAAACGCGTGCGAACGAGGCACGATTGGTTTTGTTTTTACTTTTGATTGGATGACAAAGTGGCGCGAGTTCTCTAAGCCAATCGTGTAGCGTGGCAACGCAAAGTCACTAACATTCGACTCTCAAGTGAAAACCACTTTATAAGAAATACAATAGGTATAAGATTAGTTTGGATGAACGTTTTTGCGACAGGCTTAAGTTTATAACACTTACCAAGACATTGATTTTTCCGGATATCATGCTTATTGCAGAAAACAACCAAATCGTTTCATTGCTTTATTAATTATTGAACCAAAGTTGCTGGCTAACACGCAGTTTTTGTTAAAATCAGTTCAGTCTACGCATATCTGACCGTGTAATAAAACTTGAAACATAGGCTATAGATACCTGATGTCAATTCTTCTATGCACTTGCTCCTCTGATTTTGGAAGAATGCAAACTCCCTGCCAATGAAGTAAGACATATTAGTAGAAACGAATACATATAAACAAATTTTAAATCCTTGTCGACTTGCCAGTTTATGTTTTGAAGTGATGAATACTATTTTACAGATGTGAACGAAACGTTTTTCTTGTAATTGTTGTCACGCATTGCTTGTGATAGAAGTCGGCATAGTGGCCTACTTACAAACTGGAACAGTGCTAAATATTTCTTTAAAAACCAAACAACCGTCATAAAAATCGATCAAAACTGCCGGAAAAAAAGGCGAACATAATAATTAAAAGTTCAAATTCACAAACTTGAATCCGCCAAGGCGAAAGACGTGTACTTTTTCTTTTTTGAGAGATCGAGACATTTTCGTTTCTAATCATTGTAGTATCTTTTTAGCTTCTTATTTACTTCTCAACTGCAATTAATTGTTACAAATGCCTATTTCCAGGCACTAACAACATTTGAGTATGCAGACTAACATTTCCTTTATCTTCGAGGCATAGCAAAGACGATTCTCATCTCCAAGTCGAAAGTTTTTTGGTGTTTCGTGTGTAGAACGCATCTAGACCAAATTTGGCGGCTCGGAGTATGTGTGGAGCAACTNTAGTCTACAAAAAAGCCAAAATTCAGCCCTTACATATCTGAAAAATGTATTTTCTACACTTTTCTTTGTATTGTCCAGGAGATTTGGTTTGTACTCAGGAGACTCGCCAATAATCTGGGAAAGTTGACATAGATGCAAAAGCCAAACAAACTATTTTCATCCAGTTGAAACCCAAGGACGTTTTCCTTAGATCTACTTGCAACCATTTAATTTGGTTAATTTCCAATAATGATTACAAAAAGTTCACCCTTCAGTGCACAAGGTCAAGCTACAAGTATTGCATTTCTAGAATTTACTTATATTTCTTTGTATTAGATTTATTTTTGGGGGAAAGTATAAGCTTATTTTAGGAATATTTTGCCTTAAATTTAGTTTCTCCAGTTGTGTTGCGTGCTTTTATTTGAAAATAACATGATTTTTACTATAGAAATACAGCGTTTGTTTCCTACAGCATTCATTTCTTACCTGTAAGCGTTGTGCTTGTGTATTTGTCGCGACACATTCTTCTCGTATTCCGCAAGCTCTTAAAATGCAAATTTGAATAGAAGGCTTTAAAAAAACTCATCAAAAATATTAAGAAATGGCATCAATATGGACGATCAAACTTACCGATAAGAAAGTCGCAAAAATCACTATTTGGATTTTGATCAGGTGCTTTCCTTTTACTCATTTCTGCTGGTTACAAATGTGAAAGACACAGCAAAAAATAAATATCAACGGAGGTCGCCATATTTTTTTTTGAAAAGCCCGCGAAGAGCTTGGGGCCGATTTCATTCTCGGAGTCACGAAGGCAGTCACGAAATGTTTTCTCTCCGCCAAGCGGGACTGATATAATCTAACTATTAGCAAGACAAGTTTTAGAATAAATTCCTTTATTTCAAAGCAATCCTCAGCAGGACGAACTTTGTCCCTTTGTAATATTCGATAAACCACAAAACTGCAAATAATTATATGACAAACAATAGGAAGTCCGACAATCATACCGTCGCGTAATCGATTACTAAGCAGTATGACGTCACGCCAACGCATAAGGAATCAAATCGCTGGACGCGCGAACCATCACAGTTCTGGATATTTCATCCGCTTTATCGAAAACAAACGGCTAACTCTTGAGGGAAATTAGTACATAGAGAGGAAAACTAAAAGGATCAAGCATCGCTGGTGTGTTTAGAGCCGTTCGGCGTTCTTAAAAGACGAATCCAAAGCTACGTGTAAAGGCACCACGCTGGAACCTAAACTGGCGAAAGTCCACACTCTCGGCAGTTTAATGCTCTCGCTAATTCAATCGCAATTTCGACAACTTAGGACTTATATGACTTTTGAACACTTGCTAACAAGGACTAGGACTTGAAGCTGAAAGTTTTTGAGGCGTTGAGAATGTACGCAGCGAGGAATTGTGCGAGATTGTTTAAAAGGCAGCAATTGTTGGTTTCCGGAAACTTTACGTTTCAAAGATGGCAGCAAACCGCGGCTTTGGTCGCTCAGGAGCCGTTTTTGAACGGCAGCAGTGGCAATTATGTGGAAGAGATGTACCTATCTTGGAAAGAAGACCCAAAGAGTGTTCATCGGGTAAGTTATGTATCTGTTTCATGGCCTGATGTTTCGTTGCCGCGAATATAAGCTTATACAATGAAATTAACCTGAGCTTTAATACATGCATTGAAGCACCCCCTGAAGCTGCTACGGTAACAAAACTCGTTCATATTTTACACGTTTTGTGTTGTTAAATATTACTAATTGTTCTCTATTATCCGCTATTAGTTTGGCTGGGCGATCATGGGAGAAAAGTGTAGAATAGTTTCCAAACATGCCCGCTTCAATATGATATGCATCTCATTTCTTTACACCGAAGTTTTGAACTTTGGCCAGCCCATGACCCACCCTCGACGCCAGGCTGTCTCGAGACTGCTGTTAACTCACGTAGTACCTTTGAGTCTTAAATATCATGCAAATAATTTACATTTACCAAGCTTGGATAACAAACACTCAAGCGCTATAAGAAATCTTGGTAATGAAATGGAAACATGTGGCAGTTTGTCGACCAGATCCTTCCATTTCATTTAATCAATGTACATGTAATTCCAGATCACAGAAATTTTTGCAGTTGAAACATTCAAAGAATGGTTTGTTTTTAGTTTTGCCCATTGTGCATGAGGTGGCTTGACGTCACAACAACATACAGGATATGACTTAAATGTTTAACAAACTGTTGCGGTGCTATGCACCATTTCCCTGTGATGTGGGATTGGGTGAATGCCTATTCATTTATTCTGTGATCATTGCTTGATCTAAAGGAGGTCCCTCCCCATTTCTTTAGGAAAGGCAAGGCTCTGCTTCACACCCCTTCCCTGATATTTTCAAGCTCTTCTTGATAAGCTTCTGGTGATAGGCTGCTATGTCTGACTCATTAGTTGGTAACCTGCACCATGTACATGTAGAATGTTCTTTATAAATCAGCCAAATTGAACAATAGATAAAGAATTCAAACACAAACAATGCCTGTAGCTAACCTTAAGAACAAAATAGATCCATGTTAATATGAGGGAATGAAAACAGCAGTTTTTACATGGTGCTGATCAACTTTAATTTAAAAATTTGACATAAAGCTCAGTCCATAGTCTCATCGAACACAGGGAGTGTAGGCATCTGGGTGCAATTAAAGAGAACTTCCACTAACCATCACTTTTACTATGAAAAAGTACAGCTTTAAATGTATATTCTGGTCTGAAGCACAACTCATCCATAGCTAAATTGGAACACCCAAATTGGACAGACTTCTTCTGCACGTGATCCTTAATAATTATTTTAAGAAGACTTATGACCCTTGTGCTAATTTTTTCCATGATCCCCAATGTGATATATTGTGTTTTGATAGAAGTAAAGAAAAGATAATTATATCCATGTATTTTAAGCCTATAGGAATAATTTAAACTAGAGTCCCATGCCTGGTGTATTGAATTGATGTGATCCAGTTCTCTGATTCAGTCTTCTAATTGCTTCACGAGCTACATGTACATGTACTTTACATGTATATTAAACTGGTACTAAGGTGGATTATTGCTGCATTTGTTCCCACACCATGTCACTGATGTGTGACTGAATAGACAACCATTCATGCATAAAATTAAATGTGTTTAAAACTTGACTGTGGGCACGTGACACTTTGTTGAATGGAAACCCCACTACTGACACTAAATTACATAAACATGGTAAATCGTCATTTTGATTTATGTTATGTACGTAAACTGGGTAGTATTCTGTGCGTTTGTCAAATTGCTAAGGACTACCAAATGTTGAATTTGAACATAGCAGAATCTAAATTTGCATGTCAAGCAGTAGTAGATACAAAAACATTTTAAAGGAAACTTCATTTTCATGTGAAATAAGAAGTGTAAACTCTAAGAATCATTGGTTTACTTCAATGCTGAAGTGGATTTCCACTCACGAAGTAGAATGTTTGAAAACTTACACAATGACATGACCCCCTATTTGCTTTAAATTTAATTTCAAGATTTACATGTTTAACCGATTAAGGTACAACATAAACAATTTCAGCAGAGATGCATTTAAAACTTCGTGCAACTAGTTCAGTTCATTTGGAGCAGAAGACAAAGTTCTGGCCCCAGTTCTTTGAAGGCTACATAGCACTCTCCACCAGATAAATTGCTTTCCAGTGGATAGTGTTAAAGGGAGGCCTTCATGGTTGAGAGCACGTCTCTGAATTAACATACTTTTGTTCACTTCTTATCAAGGTCATCGCTTTAAAAATCCCACTCAGGTGCAATTCAGTAATCACATGCTACAGTTATGTGTGGCTGAATGACAGATGACCAAAATTCTCAGAAGATTTCATTGGATTTTACCGGCGCTGTCAACTGCTGAATTTAATGTTGTCTTGTACGATTTATTCTGTGGTTGATGATTTTACAGCTATTTGCATGCAAATCTAGGTAACTTGCTTACAATTGAAGGGGTGAGTGCAAAACCATACTAAGTGACGATTTGGGTAAAAAAAAAANGAGTGAAAATGTGGGAAAAAACCTAAAGTTTAATATCCTGACATATCCTTAGCAAAATGTAAGCAAAGTATCTTTTTTATGATTAGTATGGACATCCCCTGGCCTCTAAAACCTAGCTCACTCCTAATTAAAAAACTAATACTTAGTTTTAGGTAATATTAAAAGTGGAAGCAGACATTTATAATCTAACTTGTGCCTTCTATTACTGTGACTTTTTCCAGTCTTGGGATGCTTATTTCCGCCAAGTTCAGAATGGGATGCCTCCAGGACAGGCCTACCAACCACCACCCATTCTGGGACAGATGGCTGGCATGGTAGCAACAAGACAAACTGTTCCAAGTGCTGTGGACCAATCCACTATCAACAGTCTTGTGTCAGATCACTTGGCAGTGTACTCTTTGATTCGTTGTTACCAGGTAATTATTAATTAATAATAAGTATACACTAGACCTGTATTTTTCTTGTTGCTTTTAATGAGGTAGTTTTCTAGTTTGACGTTATACAGTCTAACCTCTTCTAATGGTCACCTCTCTTCAACGGCCACTTTTTTCTGGTGGCAGATGGGCCTTATTCACTTTTATTTTAACCTCTCTACAACAGCCACCTCTCAATAACAGATATGGCCACTAAAGCATGTCCCAACTTACTGTTGACATTCTTATTGCAGATCAGGGGTCATAACAAAGCCCAGTTAGACCCTCTTGGTATCCTGCAGGCTGACCTCTCAGATTCCATTCCTGCTGATCTTTCTCTTGAATACTGGGGACTTGGTGAGTTATGCACCATATGAAACACGAAAGATTGTGTTCATAATTTGTCCTGGATAATTGATTTTGGTTATTAATCTCTTTCAACCCAGAGGTAAAACTCTAGACTAACCACAAACAATTTAATTTATTATCTTACATGTACATGTATAAATGTATTGATTCATTGGGGCTGCTAAAGAGCACATTCAATTTGACTTAGGTTAATTTGTTAGGAAGAGATAAACCTTAAAAAATGACCTAACATGAGTATATGCTGCCATGCAATTTTTTCCCTTCTTGATGATGTTGTTTTATTTGGTTTTTTTTTTCTTTTTACAGGAGAGGCTGATCTAGATAAAGTTTTCCAGCTTCCTAACACAACGTATATTGGTGGCAACACTGATGTTTTGACTTTAAGAGAAATAGTCAGCAGGCTTGAGGTATGTTGAGGTCTGTGATGATGTACTGTAAATCGTAATTTCATGGCAAAAAGTATGCTACGTTTTGTGTTCATTGTGTTCTGTTCTTGGGCAAGACTCTGAGATCTTCTCTCAGTACTTCTCTCCACCCAGGTGTCTAAATGGGTACCAGTCCAGCAAAGTAGAGAGGTTGTAACTTAGCCTTTCAGAACATGTATGAATCTTGTAGGAGTTACAGGTATTCCTCAGTTGCTTGAAGATCAGATCTTGATTTTATCTTCCACAGAGTTCATATTGTGGACACATTGGGCTGGATTATATGTTCATTCCAGAAAAATCTAAATGTAAGTATCTGTTCTAAAAACTCATGGTTGATAAAGTGTACAATGGGCCATATTTGCATTTTGAGTACTAGCTTGTGACTGAGCTAATATGTTTGGTCTTCTCAAATGCTGATTCATCCCCTAGTAAATCAATTTACAGTAATTAATAGTAATGCTCATTGTGTGCTGTTGGTGTAAACTACTTACTGAAAACCCCTGTGGCAAGTCAACTTCCCAGTGGCTGGTTAAACTTGCATTGTTGTTCTTGTTAAATGATGTCTCGTTTTGGTTAAAATCTTTCAAGGTGACTGGATTAGGAAGAGGTTTGAGAGTCCAGGAATCGTAACATTAGATGTGGAGGACAAAAAGACTTGTTTAAGGAGGCTCATTCGTTCAACTGGGTATGATGTCAAGTCATTGACTTCATGTATTCAGTATTGCCTTTAACATGTTAGAAATCAGGGAGGTTCCCTTCCTTTTATTCAATTACTGCCACGACTTTTTTCCTGATGTCAAAATGGTTGAAGCACTGTGCCAAAAACAGGAATATATTATTAAGGAAGATATGGAAAAACATTTAAAGAGAAAAATAAATGTTATAACACGGCGTTTCGGTGTCATCTTGTCACCATTATCAAATGCAGATTTATGTCATTCAGATCAGATAAATACTAGCTTAGGTGTTAAGGAGTCAAGGTGATGAACAATGTCAAAACGACTGAAATCTGTATGTAATGGTGACAAGATGACTCCAAAACGTCATGTTATATTAAGGGTTTAATATTTTTCCTTTAAATTTATTATTAAGTAAAGGATTAAATTAGGAATTTTTCAATATTCATTTCACATTATGAATTTTTAATAAAAACTGAATGGAATATTTATTCAACCATTCCCATTTCCAATAATCAAACCAAGGCAAAACTGCACTGTTGAATGACTTGTTTGCAAAGAGAAGAAAGAGAAAGAGGAGTATTTTTCGCAAGCTTAACACTTCATGCGACAATTATTTTAGACGGAAATCTTGAATAACAACATGTGAAGCAAAATGGTGAGTCAGCAGGACACCACTTGCCCAGTTTTCCCCTTGCAATTTCTTCTGCATTTTAGGTTTGAGGCTTTTCTAGCCAAGNTTGAGGCACTGTGCCAAAAACAGGAATATATTATTAAAGAAGATATGGAAAAACATTTAAAGAAAAAAATAAATGTTATAACATGGCGTTTCGGTGTCATCTTGTCACCATTATCAAATGTAGATTTATGTCATTCAGTTCAGATAAATGCTAGTTTAGGTGTTAAGGAGTCAAGGTGACAAACAATGTCAAAACGACTGAAATCTGTATCTAATGGTGATAAGATGACTCCAAAACGTCGTGTTATATGAAAGGTTTAATATTTTTCCTTTAAATAATTATATTATTAAGTAAACGATTAAATTAGGAATTTTTCAGTATTCATTTCACGTTATGAATTTTTAATAAAAACTGAATGGAATATTTATTCAACCATTTCCATTTCCAATAATCAAACCAGGGGAAAACTGCACTGTCAAATGACATGTTTGCAAAGAGAACAAAGAGAAAGAGGAGTATTTTTTGTAAGCTTAACACTAAATGTGACAATTATTTTAGATGTAAATCTTGAGTGACAACATGTGAAGCAAAATGGTGAGTCAGTGGGACACCACTTGCCCAGTTTTCCCCTTGCAATTTCTTCTGCATTTTAGGTTTGAGGCTTTTCTAGCCAAGAAGTGGTCGTCAGAGAAACGTTTTGGCGTCGAAGGTTGTGAAGTTCTGGTTCCAGCAATGAAGACAATCATTGACAAGTCAAGCGAGCTTGGCGTTGAGAGCATCATCATGGGAATGCCACACAGGGGCAGGCTAAATGTTCTGGCCAATGTTTGCCGCAAATCTCTGGAGCAGATCTTTACTCAGTTTGATCCAACGCTCGAAGCTTCTGATGAAGTACGTTTACAGAGACAACATACGTTACCATGTAGTTATTTTGCCCGGGGGAAATTCCATTTGAAAAGGTTTGGGATGCTCATTGGTTGCTTAGGGACGGACCATTATTTATTTGAGGGGCAGGGGGGCTGAACAATTTTCTGGAGCATGATTTTTTTTTGTAGGGCAATAGCTTGTGCAAGTATTTTTTTTTTTTTTTTCAAGTGTATTTTTTTAAAAAATTCAAACACAGGACCTGGATAGTAGAAATCACTTGCTCTATTTTTCTTTTTCTCCAAGGCTCTCCTGGCATGTTTTTTTTAGCAGTTTTTGTTGTGTGGGATTTTTTTTTGGAAATTGCCCAAACTCCCTCCTTCCCCCCCACCCCCCCCCCTTACCCACTCAAAAATGTTACAATCCATCTTTTTGTGTTGTAAATCTCAGATTTTTTTCTCACTTATGCCATCAAGGTACCTTTTTAGGGGTCAAATAAGGCTGGAGCCACACCCAGATTAGTCTCATTTAGGGGTTTCATTCAAATAGTCCAATGAGCATCCAGACCTTTTCACATGGGAGTCCACCCTACAGGCTATCATATGGTGTCCCTGGATCATTCAGTATTCTACATTTCTGGCATTGCACAAGATACCTGTGGCTCAAAGAGAGTTTGATCAAACTTTTAGTTGCCAATGACCTCCACTGTAGCAGCTGGTCACAAGAGCCAGTTGCTTACTCCTAACGGCAGCCCTTTCTAGTGGAGTAGCTGTCGTCATGCTTGTTTCCTTTATTGCAGGGGTCAGGAGATGTAAAATATCATCTTGGGATGTCACATGAACGCCTCAACAGAGCAACTAACAAAATCATCCGCTTGGCTGTGGTCGCAAATCCATCTCATTTGGAAGGTTTACAACTTCTTTTTCTTTTGCATGAAATTTTGTGACACTTCGGAAAACCTCAGACAACTTATTAATTTCAAGTTCTGTTCTACAGTCGGCATATAAATAGCCCTAAAAATTCCAGAAATTTCCACTGAAAGTTAAATCAACAGACAGTTCTCTTATAATCCACTTGGAAATTGTGTATTACCATAAACACCAACAGATAAGCTGCACCTTTTTACTCGTTCAAGTTTTTTCATAAGAGATCTTCTCTGTGAGGTGATCAGGACAACATGCCGTAAATTTGCTAAAATTAACACTTTTCAAAATTTATAAGTTTGTATTAATAGCAAACTGTCTAATAAAAACTTCATAAAACTACACCAGAGTATGCATTGATCATTGCTTTTGCAAGTTTGGTTTTTTCATACTCAATAATTTCGCTTTAGTGTNTATGTAAAACTCTATTGAAAATCTGGCAGGAATGAGAAAATACTGGTTGAAAAATAACAGAGAAAGATTAAACATAAGTCTGAGCCAGTAGACATCATGTCTATTCTAAGTGTGCAGTGCTAAGGTTGTAGATAAGGGTCTTAGTTTGAAGTGCTCTCTCAGTGTTATGGAAGTTCACATGGGTTGATGTTCAGTGAATAAACAATTGTACTGTCATGTAAATTTGAGTTACCAAACTCAGTGTGCAGCTTATCTGTGAGTGTGGCTTATCTGCTGGTGTTTTCAGTACCTTTGATCTGTTATTGATGCCATTTATAGTACAACAGTCATTCCAACTTGTTGCTGCAGACAAATGATAAGCAACCGATACAAGAAGGATCCACACAAAGTAGTTTTAGTAAAGTTATTATAAATATCAGGTTATTGTCAAAGAATTTCTTCAAGACGGTAACCATTGTTTCTCTTTTTTGGAGTGTTTATCTTTCTTACATGAAGGGGACTGTTTTGCAGATCATCAATAAAAACGTATAAAACAAATGAAGTGGACTGTTTATATTGTTTTCATGAATTTGAAGACACTTCAGTCTATATAACATAGTCCTGCATCATTGAGAATTGTGATTGAACTCTTCAGTCAAATTGTTTGAATGTGTTTCTTTAGCTGTTGATCCTGTGGTTGAGGGAAAGACCAGATCAGAGCAATTTTACAGAGGAGACACACAAGGGAAAAAGGTACAATTGCTAATAATCTGTGTTGTGTAAAAGTGTATTATTTGGTGTTGAATTTGTCTGCGTGCATGCACATGGTTCCCAGACATTATAATTAACATTAACAACCAAACAACATTAACTAAAGTTGAAAAGGCTGCTGAGCCTAACATTTTTTCAAAAACCCATATCACCGTCAGTTTCAATCTTCTTCAATTTCTGCCCACTTGTGCGTGTACTTTCTTTTTGATGGGTTGTGTTACTGAAATGTTCCTTCAATGTTTAAAGCAGTTCTTTTTATAAAAGTTGCACTCAATTTGGTGGCCATTTTCATAGGTCTAAATTTGGCTANTCTCAACCCAAGTGTATTAATGGGTACCAGGAAATTTTATGCTGGGTATAACCCTGTGATAGTCTGACATCCCATCTAGGGGCGAGTAGAAATACTCCTGGTGATCACTTCATGCTGTTGAAACCAGACGTACTGTATGTGCTGGCCTGGAAGGCTGCTTGGCTCGTGTGCAGACTTTTTACAGCTGCTAAGAATAATATTTTTTGACATTTAATCATTCCACCAGGTTGTGGATGCCCCAATATTCCATGTGAATGCTGATGACCCTGAAGCTGTCCTGCACGTCTGTAAGGTTGCGGCGGAATGGAGAGCAGAGTTTGGCAAAGATGTTGTTATTGATTTGGTATGTGTGTGGTTTTTTCTTTTCTTTTTTTTTTTTTTTGAAAAACTGATAGTTATGTGCAACTTCTATACAGAGAGTAAACCAATAATGTTAAGTATATTAGGATAATTTTTGGGCGAAATAACATGAAGAACATTCTCTTGCAACCTTTTACTTTGTGCTTTATGTTTCACCATAGAATTCTGAAAGTAATGACCCTCTGAAAGTAACGTTCAATTATGCTCACTGATAAATTCCAAAAGTAGCAATCCCCCGAAAATAGCAAGAGAGTATAGTATATTTCTTTTTCCAATCTATAGTCAAGTGAGTTGAGGTAAGTAAATAAAAAATTTTGATTTGGTTTATGGTAACTTGATAAGGATAAGCCCACTGTAATGTCTGTCTCCAACAATTTTCAGGTGTGTTACCGTCGCCATGGTCACAATGAAGGTGACAACCCAATGTTCACTCAACCTATCATGTACAAGAATATTGCCAAAAAGAATAACATCTTGGATTTGTATTCAAAGAAACTGATACAGGAGGGTGTGGTCACTGAGGAGTGGGTGCAGGTACGTTTGTTAACACTATTCATCCTAGAGTCATTTGAATAAAACCCTGAGTGACCATTCCAGTGAAAGCTATTGAGCAGTACTTTCATGTGGTACCGTTTATTACAAGTAAAGCAGTACAATTGTGTGGTACTGTTTATTATGCTGTTCGATGTGGTTTTTATTTCCTCTGTCCATATTAAGCTTAACCATAGAGATTTCAAATAATTTGAATAATCAAGTGAAATAATTTTGATGTAATTTATATTGAATCTAAATACATTCATGACTTTCTGTTTTCTTATCTAGGAAGAGAAAGTAAATTATGAGAAGATCTGTGAACAGGCTCTTGTTGATGCAAAGTCAGAAAAGCGGGTGTTACTTAACAGGGATTGGCTCGATTCCCCATGGAAAGGTGTGGCTTGTTATTAGGATTTGTCCATTTTCTTCACATTCATAAATCTTCAGTCACTGTACTTGAACTACATCACTGACCAAAACCTCGTTGCAGTAAATGTTGGGGTTGCTCTAGAAGGAGCTTTTAATTAGTTAAAATGAGTTTTTTTTTTGGACAACCCAGGCAGGGTTTTGGGAAAGTGGCTGCTTCAGACAGTTGTTCACTCATGCAAATGGTCCCAAGATGAGTTTTTACAGTGTGCCTACTCAAACGGGGCCACTTGTAAAAGAGTAAAACAATCAGACCATTACTTGAGAACAAAAAATAGCGATGCTTTTTTCAAGTAAACCAATAACATTGAAGAACACAAACAATAGATCTTGACAAAATTGAAAACCCAACCACGTGCAAGGTGTTGCCAACCTCTCAGGAAACTTTGGCATTTGTTGATTGGTTAGTTTCGATCCTAAATTTTGTACACTTTTCAACAGTTTCGGTTTAGTTGTCGCAAAATGAGTTTTCAAGCCTAATTTTTCGAGCAAGATTCATAACAATGGTTATTCACGCCAAGGACTGAATCTCTAAGAGAGGAGTCAAAGCTACCAGTCCATTGTTCTAAGTTTATGTTTTGATTCTAGGTGGCCTGGTTCAAGTAGTCACAATGTAAATGTACCTTTTCTTTTGGTTTTGTCTATGGAATAGCTGGTTCAAAATATTTTGAATTTTGAGAGAGAAACAAGATTTTGAGAGATCATGCAAGCATTTTATGCATACATTTGTTTTTGTTTGTAACAGTTGCTTTACTACTTTGGAAAGATGCCTAAGGTTGTAGAAGCTTTCAATACTAATCCAGCAGGTTCATCAAAGGCACTATAAATTCTGGAAAAGAAAAGAACTCCAGATCCCAATTTAATTAATTCTTAATAACTGTCCTTGTTTTGTATCAGGGTTCTTCAAGAAAGGCTATAAACCTTCTCTACCTGTAAGACCAACAGGAGTTTCTCTTGACTCGCTGAAGCACATTGGAAATGTATTTAGTACTGCCCCGGGTGGAGACTTCAAGGTTCATGGAGGTAAATAAGCTGATCCCTTTGGGATAAACCTCCTATAATTACTCCCCCCCCCCCCTTTAAATGATCCCTTGGGGTGACCTCCTTAGGTAACTTGTCCAAGGTTTCCTCAGACTAGCAAATGATCTCTCAATCACTTCAAGATCCCCCAATAAAATCCCCCTAAGATGAATACCCTGATGATCACCCTTAGTTGACCATATCAGATGATGACCCTCTTGAGATGATTCCCCCGAATGGTTCTCCTAAGATGACCCCACTCCCCCAAAACCCAAGATGGTCTTCCCTTGATGAGCCCCCTGAGAGAAAGCCTGCTCCGATGATTTCTCTAGAATGATTCCCCTGAGAAGATCCCCTAAAAAGATCCCCCTAAAAAGATCCCCCTGTTTTTTTCTATAACCTATTTAAGCCCCATGCCCATAGTAAGCCCCATCAAATGGTCTGCCCAGAGTCTACTCAGATGATTTCCCTTGAATTGTCCCCTTTAGAATATCCCCCTGAAGTGCTTTAGAATCCATATTTAAACTGATCTCTGAGGTAAAACCCCTAAAATGATCTGAATTCTATTCAATCTGTACGTTGTCAAGATTGGTCATGACTGGCGAGGGTTTCATTAACATTTTCAGTAGGAGGGTAACTGGTTTATGCAGGTGGGCAAATTTTTGGAACTGAACTTCTTTATAAGAAAACGTTTCCTCTAGATGCTCAAACCAGGTGGGCAAAATTGTCCTCACACCTGGTCAATTTGCCTGTTGCCTGTCCCTTAATGAAACCACTTGACTAGTGAAAGCTGGCATAACAGGACTAGCTTCCAGGCTTCAAGAGTAATACGTAAGTGTTGGCATGATTTTGACAAGTGAATGTTGCTTTCAGGACTCCGTCGAATCCTGAAGGCTCGCCATGAGTTGCTGGAGAAGGGCTATGTGGACTGGGCAGTGGGTGAGGCTCTGGCGTTTGGCTCTCTTCTCATGGAGGGTGTGCATGTTAGACTCAGTGGACAGGATGTGGAAAGAGGAACATTCAGGTAAAACAACTTTCTTGATAACCTTCTTGTCACTGTTCAGCTTGACAAAAGAGGCATCACTCTGTTAGCTCTTTTTACTTCGCAAGAGAGATCTGAGATTTGAGCCAAAACATGCCGTACTTAGTTAGGTACAGCATCAAGCACCATCTGAGGGTTTTGAATGTAACATAAACAAGTCAAGTGCGAGGATTGTTAACATTTTTGAACACCAAGTTTTGGTTGATTACAATACAGAAAGGTTGTTACAATATTTTGGCTTTGTGACAGAGTCATTATTATCATTTTGGATCACTACATGACTAAGACTCTGTAACTGCCCTGAACTATAGTAACAACCTTTCTCCATTGTAATAAATCAAAACTTGGTTTTCAATGTCCAATTGGACTTGTCTTGTTGATGTTGTATGTACAAAAATCTCTGTATAGAGTTTGCCATTGGTCTTTACTGAGGTATCAGGCAACACTATTGCCTTTAACTGACGGGTGCTTATTTCTAAAGTGCACTAACTATTAGGTTGATTTCCCCTCCTTTCTTTCCTTTAGAAGTAAAATCATTTTGAGAGTCCTTTTTATTTTGTAGTCATCGTCATCATATTCTCCATCACCAAGACAAAGATAAAGTGACGTACTGTCCACTGAATGACCTCAGTGCTGATCAAGCTGTCTACACTGTTGTCAATAGCTCCTTATCAGAATATGCTGTGCTAGGTATGTTTTCCAGTATGTATGTGCAGGTTTTCACCTCTTTACGGAAATCAGCCAGATTTTTCAGAACGACTCAGAAAGTCCAAAACATTACCTGGGGGATCATGGCACTGGACCTTGCTAGAAGCTTGCCCCTTTGTGCTTGTTGTTTCAGAAATTGGTCACCATTTATCTTGAAGGTGTGTTCCTTAAGGACAATCTGGATCAGGGTCAGTTATCTAAGATCACTAGATGTTGCATCAGAGGAACCGATGAATCTGTGACCAAAGTGGATTCATCAGTTCCTTTGATCTACCATGGTTCAAAGTGATCTTGGATCACTGATCCTTATCCTGATCCAGATCACCCCAAAGAAATGCACCCTTAAATCTTTACCTGCTGCATCTGCATGTGATGACTTTGTGCAAAAGCTTTTTCAAACTGATTTTCAGAGTTGCCATTGATGTTCATGGTGCACATTCATTTTTTTAGGTTTTGAGTTGGGATTTAGCATGACAAATCCTTTCGCACTTGTCTGTTGGGAAGCTCAGTTTGGAGACTTCAACAACACTGCCCAGGTATAATAGATTATTATTTCTCCACAACATCATTTAATAATAATATTATGTCCCTTCACTGGTGTCATATGTTCAGTTAAAAATAATTTCATGACTATTATAATTATGTCTTGATTTCCTCCTCAGTGTATTATTGACCAGTTCATAAGCAGCGGACAAGACAAGTGGGTCAGACAAAGTGCTCTTACCATGTTGTTACCGCATGGCTATGAAGGAATGGTAAGTACTGCAGCTCCTCCATGCCAACAACCTTTTCCAGCAGAGGGGTGTTTTCCTCTGCAAAATCCTGGTTATATTAGGTAACTTGTGAACTTAGTGTACATGTTTATCTGTTTCATTCTAGGGACCTGAACATTCCAGTGCCAGACCAGANAGTGTATAAGGGAAACCTTTATTGTCCAATCACTCTGTGGTGAAACGAAAACAAACTAATTCTAACCTCAGTACAAGTAAGAAAACAC